TGTTTTGGTTTATCTCCACTAACTGCTCTAATCATATTGCCAAATTCGATCAGCCACTTCTGTTTGACCATCTGTCTGGGGATGACTTGTGTTACTAAACTTCAAAGAAGTGTCAAATATTCTTCACAATGTCCTCCAAAAGTGACTTAAAAACTTTACATCTCTATCAGAAATTATAGAATGAGGGATACCATGTAGGCGAATGATCTCGCGAAAAAATAAATTACCCAGGTAAGAAGCATCTGCAGTTTTCTTACGTGGAATGAAGTGAGCCATTTTTTAAAATCCATGAATTATGACCAAAGCAGAATCAATTTCCCGTTGAGTTCGTAGGAGATCGAGAACAAAATCTATTGTAAGATCTTGTCATATTGTATCTGGAACAGCCAAAGGGGTATAAAGGGCAGTATTTTGAGCTTGTCCCTTAGCTTTTTGACATATTGGGCATCATTGAACAAAACGACCAATGTCTCTTTTGAGTTGGGGCTAGTAAAATCTCTCTTCAACCAACCTGATTGTCTTATCTCGACCAACATGTCCGCCTCATGCATGTATTTCTCGAATCAAGTGCTCACGCAAAGAAGAACGAGGAATGCATAATTGCGTTTCCTTAAACAAGAATCCTCCCTGAAGAAGGTAATCGGGTAAAAATTCCCTATTATTGCATCGAGCCCATATATTGCGAAAATCCTCATCAGTTGCATACAGTTTCTTTAAACAATCGAACCCAACTACTTTCATACTAATTGTAGCTAAAAGAGATGTATGTCGACTTAATGCATCTGCTACTTTATTCCGTTGGCTAGATTTATGTTTTATAACAAAAGTGAATTTCTGTAAAAAGGTAATCCATCGAGTGTGCATTTGATTCATTGTTTTTTTGAGAATTAATAAACTTCAAAACTTGATGATCCATAAATAGCACAAATTCTCGTTGAACCAAGTGATGTTCCCAATGCTTTAATGCTCGAATAACGCTATAAAATTCCAACTCATAAGTAGTCCACTTTTGTCGAGATTCACTAACCTTTTCACTAAAAAATTCAGCTGGGCGGCCTTCTTGGGATAATACTGCTTCAATTCCCATAGCTGAAGCATCACACTCAACTTCAAATATTTTCTCGAAGCTAGGTAGTGCCAACACCGGTGTAGTGCATAACTTGTTTTTGATTGTCTCAAAACTATCTTCCTATACTTTGTCCCACTAGAATTGGCCCTTTTTCAAGTAATCGATAATAGGTGTCATAATTGTACTGAACCCTCGAATGAAGAGCCTGTAAAAAGTTGCTAATCCATGAAAGCTCTGTACTTCTCACATGGTTTTAGGAGCTGGCCATTCGCGTATTGCTTTCACCTTCGCCTCATCAACTTGAATACTATCTTTACCTACCATGAAACCAAGAAATAAAAGTTGGTCGGTCATAAAGCTGCACTTTTTAAGACTAATATACAATTTATTTTCCTGAAGGGCTGAAAAAACTTCTGTAAGATGTGATAAGTGCTCATCTTCATTTTTTCTGTAGATAAGAATGTCATCAAAATAAAACCACCACAAATTTTCCCCCAAATGGACAAAGAACTTGGTTCATCAATCGCATGAATGTGCTCGGTGCATTCGATAGCCCAAATGGCATCACTAATCACTCGTAGAGACCATCTTTCGTTTTAAAAGCTGTTTTCCACTTACTGCCAGGGCGAATACGGATATGATGATAGCCACTCCTTAAATCAAGCTTGGTAAATATCACTACACCTTCCAACCTATCGAGCATATCATTAAGATGCGAGATGGGAAAACGTTACTTGATTGTTATTTTATTAATGGCACAACTGTCTATACACATTTGCCAACTGCCATCCTCAACCTGTCACTACAACTCTTCATGTTCTACTTGGTTCATGCGATAATGTGACAAGTTAGGTAAACTAGCTCCAGGTGTCAAATCAATATGATGTTGAATATTTCGCATAGGGAGTAACTTGTTTTGGTAACTCGTCGGGAGCTATCTCGGCAAAATCAGCAAGCACTTTTTGAACTTTGGTGGGAATCTGTATAATTACTTCTGATGGACCTTTAACAACCAATGCAAATACTGTGTGAGGCTCTTTTAGTTTTTCCAAGAATTCTGGCCTTGAGATGTTGGTAAAAAGTAGTTTCTCTTCCTTGATGGCAGGGTTGGTTTCCACAAGTTGAGACTGTGGTACCAAAATGATCTACCTATTTAACCACCAAAATATGAAAGTATTATCCCGTCCCTTATAAGTGGCATCAACGTCATAGTACCATGGACGACCCAATAAAATTGTGACAAGCATCCATATTCACCACATCGCATATGATTTCATCTTTGTAATATTTTCCAATTGATAAAGGAACCTTACAAATCTCTAAAACTTGAACTTTCGAGCCCTTTTAATCCATGCAATCTTGTATGGCGAAGGGTGTCTCTCAGTCTTTAGATTTAGAGTCTTTACTACTGCTTTTGAAATGACATTCTCATTGTTACAGCTGTCAATATTCACACTGCATACCTTATTATGAACAATGCATCAAGTCCTGAAGATCTTGTGTCTTTGAGAGGTATCGGGCTTTTTTGGAGCTAGCAAAAGGTGTTGGATCATGCACGCCAATTCTTCCCCTATATCTGCATCGACAACATCACCACCTTCATAATCACTGTCTTCAAGATTTTGCTTTTTCCCATTGTTGTCTTCTTCTGCAAAGTTAATGGATCGTCTGTTTGGACAACTATTTGAAAGATGATCTGGTTGATTATATCGAAAGCACTTTCCTAGGTTAGGACGTGCATAAGGGTCATTATTGGCTTGGCTGTTTCCATGCACGCCAATTCTTCCCCTATATCTGCATCGACAACATCACCACCTTCATAATCACTGTCTTCAAGATTTTGCTTTTTCCCATTGTTGTCTTCTTCTGCAAAGTTAATGGATCGTCTGTTTGGACAACTATTTGAAAGATGATCTGGTTGATTATATCGAAAGCACTTTCCTAGGTTAGGACGTGCATAAGGGTCATTATTGGCTCGTGGCTGTTTCTGATTTCTGCCTTGGGTGTTAGATCGAATAGGGGCGGGAGTTCCTCTTTGATTCTGTGTTGGATTTTGAATTGGAGTAGCATCCTTGCTATTATTATTGTTGACGTTTGAGGTTGTTGCACCCTTTGGAGTAGTATAAGTTTCTTGAATTGGCTGTCGAAAATTTCCTTGAGTACGGGCTGTGGTTCTATTCATCTAATTTTTCACTTTCATTGCTAAATTGACTGCATCTGTCATGGTCCAAATCTCTTAGAGAGCCAGTCGATCTTGAATGACTAATTTCAAGCCTCCTATATTTCGAGCAATTAATTGAGCTTTAGTTTCAGACAAATTAACTCGAGCATTTAATCGATATAATTCCTCCGTGTATTCATTTACTGTCCTATTATTTTGTTGACAATTTTGATACTGCTGGTACAAAAATTGTTCATAATCCGGAGGGAGAAATCGCCTTTTCAACAAGCGTTTTATCTTGGGGCAGGTTTGCACACGTTGCTTTCCTTGTCTTTGATGATTAAACTGAAGCTGTTCCCACCATGCAGAAGCTCCACCTTTTAATTTGTACGCTACTAGTTTAACTTGACTTTGTTCCGAAATATTTAAATAGTCGAAAATTTTTTCAACGGTATGGATCCAATCCAAAAAATCTTCAATATTTAATCAACCGTCAAAACTTGGCAAGTCCATCTTCATCTTAAATTCTTGAACATTAGTACCTCTATTGTTAGCTCTTGGTCGAAAATTTTCTTCCTCTTTGGATGAATAATCGAACCCCTATGGTTGTCTTTGTTGAAGACCCCTATTTCTTGGTCGCCAAGTAAGTCCTCAATCAAAATTACCTCTCTGATCAAATTTGAGTTGGGGGTCAAAATCAAGCACTTGGTCAAAATTAACATACCCTCGTTCATTCCTAGAGTCGTCATTATTTTCCCATTCTTCAAACTCGTCATGGCTTTCTCTCTGCTGCTCCAAATTCTTCACAGCTGCCCTCGGTTGACCATCTCTATCGATACGTTCTACATCACCATCGCCCAGAGTACCTTGCCGACTGTCGCCTTCATCTCGCCATCCACCTTTATTTCTTCGTTCATAGAACCGCAAAGGAGCGGTCTTGCGAGGGTCACGATTCTCTGTGCGCAAGCTGGTTCCGCCCTGAAGTCTTCCTGTTGGTGGCCTGAATCGATCATTTGCAAAGGGTCAATGTCTCTTGCCCAGGCCTGGGTCGACCTGGGGCTGGGCTATAGGGATAGTCCCCTCCTTGCAGCAATCCCGGGATTTCGTACATCCAGGTTAGTAACTCCATCATCTCCAGAACCCACGTTGTCAACTCTCTGTCCCTCTTCCTGCCAGCTTGGCCGTTCTGCTATGTCTCCTAACTCCTCTCAGCTGTTAACGCAGTCAACAACTGCGTGATGTTGCGAAGAGTTTCATTCATCCTTTCTAGTCGCTGCTCAATTTTTTCAAACCTCCGTTCGTTGTCGGTGGTTTGTTTGCCTCTCGAACCGTCATCAGTCATCAGATTGAGGTGAAATCCTTACTCTGATACCAATTTTGGTGCGGAAGCAGAAAATTCTTGTATCAAGAATTGAAATAAGAAATCTAGGAATAATTTGCTAGTCTTGAATTGATAATGAATGAATGAATGAAAATTGTACAATGGTCTTATATTTATAGGTAAATTGTTCCTATTCCTAATAGTAGTAAGAGATTGAAATAAGGAAGCTGTGAAATTAATAAAAATCTAATCTACTTAAACTTCTAAAAATTATAATCCTAATAATAACAAGAGAACTAAAAAGAAAATAAACTTTTAAAAAATATAAAACATCTTTGTATTAGGAATTGTCTTTGTAGTAGGAATTGTAGTTGTACTCCATCATCATCTCCCTTTTTCATTAAAAATAAAATTAAGTGCAAAGCACTTGCCCTTCAAAATGTTGGCCTTATTTTAGTTCAAAAACTGTTTGATCCCATTTAAAATTTTCTTTCCCCTAAAATTCATTTTTAATCATTGACTTTTTAATTAAACATTTTATCAATTTTTATCCAAATGATTTTAGAAGCATTTTCAAGAATGTCTAATTTTAAGGGTTTGAATTGAAAAGTGTCAACTTATTTGAATCGAGTGCCAATTTGTCCATCATACCCTTAATGAAAAAATGGAGCAATTGAATGTCGTTCTCGATATTTGATTTTTTTTCAATTTGTCACGAATTTCGAGAAGTATCTTTCATGAGAAGCTGCATTAAAATAATATTTTTCGACATTTCATATGTCATTCTCGATATTTGAATACCGTTTTATTTGTTTAGAATGACATTTCATTTTGAATATGACATTTCTTTACATTTGAAATGTAGTTCTCGATATTTCCGAGTCAATGAAAAATATAGCATTTATTGTGATTTAACATGTATGCTTTTGAAATAAATATGACATGTTATGTTTTAAAATTTTATTGGCCAATAATAATTTTGTAAAAAATGTTCATTTTTTTGTCTTAGTGTGGAATTATAAATTGTTAATAAGGGTATTTTGGTCCAAATTCTTCCAAAATATACACTTTTACAATGTTTGATATTTTTACAAATGACTAGCTGAAAATGGACATTTTATGAAATTTCCACATAATTTTCACCAAACCAAATAGGGCAAATTATTTGTAACGGTATCAAGTCCGGACAAGACGTGAACTCTATTTTATATATCCTAATATCCTATGGTAGGCAACAAATGGGAAATTACAGTATTCTAATATTCTTCGAAAGAGTACACTTGCATTTCTTCGCAAATTCTTTGGTATACTAGACATAGAATCCCAACTGTAATTTGTCAATGATAGCGAAGGGATGCAACTGTTGAATTAGCAACGTAAATAGGAGTAAGAGTCGGGAGATATTGCGTCCTGTTACCAAGTTGCCTACAACTTGTTCGACGATATGCTGCATCGGGATTGATTGGAGGGGAAACGCGTCAATGCAGGATAGTAGTGTCTAATCTAGTCTGGTAATGGCAAAAAGAACTTCATGCTTTCTACATAGTCCACACAAAATTGTAGTATTCCCAGTAGAGGTGGTTCCTTTTCTATGATATCACTTCACAACTTAGGAACTCTATTACATGGTGGAAATGACAGCAGTCTGATAACTGAGTAGCCGGTGGTTTAACACTTTAGCTGTACCACGTGTTTACAACTTCAAGGCCGGAAAATACGGAAATGAACCATTGACATTTACAAGGGCAAGGCAAAAGTCGGAATGTCGGATCAAGATGATTACATTTTGAAGGGCACAATTGCAACGCAATGTTTGATACTCTGATGACGAATGTCATAGCAAGAAACTGCAAAGGAGATATTAGATGTATCCGATGCCAAATATATGTCGGAAGATGCCACAGGTAAGAAGCTTCTAGCCTCTAAATTCATCTATAAAGGATGGTAGATCGTAGAAAGGAATGTAGCAATTTCATGAAATTGTGCACGTGTGTAATCAGTTTCAACAACATATTATGAATATGGATGAATCATTTGTCGTTTCTTTCATCATCATAAACACTCTTCGTTATAAGAAGAGTCTTAAGCACCAGAAAGATAACATATCCATTGAGGATTAGGGTAGCTAGCTCCGTATAGAGGAGGAATTCAGAAAGAATAATTCTGAGGAATACATAGATCAATCCACAATAGTTCATATGGTGGAGGGTAAAAAAGAAGAGTCAGAAAGAGTTGATGATTATAGTATGAACTTCGAGTATATAATTTGTTATTCTTTGGTATTAGGGTTGTCTTCGTGTGTGCAAAATGCATGCACGTATTAATGGCTTCATTGAATCTTGATGGTGTATTTTCATTCTCGAGTGCATCATGGTTTAATAGGGGCAAATAATGTCTTAAGGAAAGCAATATTTATAATGTGGTGTGAAGCAGATTGTAATTTAGCTCCGGTCTACTATTTTCTAGCTGTTATTTCGTTTACATGTATTCTCAAGTCCACTTTGGAGGATCCCACCAACATTGTAAAGGGAGGATTTTCGTTGTAATTGTGTTCTATTTTGTTGGATCTAAACACGCCTGCACATGCACTGGCATGGGCACCTGCACACTTGGACTGTCACATATGTACACAGAGAGAAATTCCTATAAAGATTATTATTGATTAGTATTCGAAGGCTGATAATTTATTCGCTAGACCAGTACCAGCTCAACTTCTCTATGTAAAAGAGAAGTCATCAATTGTGTGACTTTGATCTTACAACTTCTTCTTTCATGGCAAGGGATAGAGCATTAAGACTACCACCATCCTCTACTATAACTCCAGGCATAGCAACAGCTCTACTCCCTACAAATCCACCTTCTCCAACTCTAATCTTCCCAAACTTGACTTTCCCTCCTTCTCCTTCATATATGTGTCCAAAAAGCAAAGCTTCTCTCCCTACGCATCCACCTCTCTCTATTTCTACCATTTCGGGATTCAAGACAGCTCCCATGCTATCTACATAAACACCTTCACTTAAGTTAATATCCGAACCCATGAGTTTCATCCAAAGCACGAAGAAGATTGATCCACCAGTCATATCCATGAAATAGTCCGCCACCAAGGTCTTAAATGCTTGCCATACTGTATCCATAAAAATTGATTTGCTCCAGATAAGTGCTGTTCCACCATCTTTCTTCTTTCCAACCAAAATCCATTTTGCTACAACACAAGCCAGTGCTGCCCATATGCCTGATAAAACCCAAAAGAAAGGAAGCAACCACTGCAGTGGATATTTCATGGTCTCCTTAGCAGATAGTATCCAATTTAGAGGACCAGAAATTACATATGCCATGAGGAAGTAAGGCAAAAATGTCTGAAGCAAGGGTTGCATGTAGATGGCCCATGAAGTTTGAAACCAAGTCCTTGCTAGAGTCACTTCACTAGAATTTCCTCTCTTTGACATTGCTGCAACCGGGCAGCTTGAGAGGTCTACTTTGACATCTGATTGCTCTATGAATGCTCTCCAGGCCTGTGGAAGTGGCTCGTTATTTCTCAAATGCTGGCAAATGTCATATATCAATGAACGACCATGGTCAATTGATGCACTTTGGGAGGCGGATGTTGCCCGGATAACATCAACCTCATGGCATTGCAGAAAGGGATTAAATTCCAGCTCCTCTGATTGTTCTTTTGTCATGTTCTGATTGATGGTAATCTCCCCAAAGTCTACAAATGGGAACTCATCCTCATCCCATGGTTTGGTGCAATCGAGTGCAACATCTTGTGTGCCTTCATCACGAGGTACAGGCCGGAACTGAAGCTGGAAAACATAGCGAACCCCGCCTGGGGAACTCACGCGTGTCTGAAAATCTTCGGCAAGGAAAAGCAGAGGACGCCTGTCGTTATTGTCCCTTGGAATTGCACCTGTTTCTGGAGGAAGGATTCCAATGGGCTCAACCTTACCGGAGTCTTCACTAATTGTCTCATCAGAAGGTCGCAGCTTGAATTTCACATACATCTCCTGTCCATCAGTGAATCTGAAGAGTCTGCATATATTTGAATAATAATGAAGTTCGGGAAATGAGTTTGCATGGCGAAGGGACATCCACACTGCATCTCGGATATGAGGGGCACGCTTCACATGTTCTTCTCTTGCTGGTAGCCCACACACAAGCCACGTTGCAAAATCAGAAATTGTACGGGCATAAAATGCCTTGCCTGTTTTCAGAGTCAAGTCCAGGAGTGGGGATTCGTGATCTGATTTATGTGAAAATATTCTTATGGCTGCTCCACGAGCATCAATCCTTGCATCATCATCGGCACTCAAGCTATTGCTGTGTCGAACTATAACAGGGTAACTCTGCCCAGGCTGGAAAATATTGTGATCAGGAAACCCTTCAATGTTGTCATATATTTTTAGTACTCCCTTTGCACTCACTCCAATTCGATGGAAATATCTTGTTCTAACCTTAAGAGTTGTTGCAGCCAAATTCGCAGCCAGATTTCCGACAATCTTCTTATACTTTATGTCCATTTCTTCTATACGCTCATCCAACTCATGCATTGTGTTCTTTATCATGATAGGACTTTGAGATCCAATATAGACACCACCATGTTGGAGCACTGAATTGACTGGAGCAACTGAAAGCGCTCCAATAATTACATCCTCCTGAATAATAGAACCAGGGAGGACAAGGCTCTGGCTCCCAAGTACTACATTATCCCGTACCTCAACTTTTGCACTTCTGAAACCATCGGAGGAATAGAAACCAGTGATAATCCTGCTGAAGTCACCTAAATGGACACCATTACCGATTGATACCAGTTTGGGTTCTAAAACAGGGTTAATGGCTCTAATGGAACAATACTTTCCGACTTTGGCACCCAGTAGCCTCAGGTATATGCAAAACGCTTCAGTTCCTGAAAGGAGCTTTGTAAATCTAAGATGGCACGATATGTTAATTCTGTGACGAAGCCACATTCTCAGGTATGTTTGTTTTGTTCCTTGATTTCTGGACATGGAATGGTTCATCAAGCAGGTAATCAAACTGAGTATCAAGCCGTGAGCTAAGTATGCAGTGGCAACTGACATGGCAAAGCTCAATGGACCTAAAGATGTGGATCCAATCATGGTGACATATGCAAAGATAGTGAAAGGGAGCCAGTGGAAAGCTCCAAATACACACAAAAAATTGAAGTGTTCAATGGTAGGAGACTTTTGAGTCAGCAGCAAATAGATGCAGTAAAAGATGGCTGCCGAGAGACTGCTTATGAATCCAACAAGATAGACACCCATGAGATGGTGAATAGTCTGATATTGAGTGTCACCTATCACCTTCGAAAGTTCCATAACCTGTCACCCACAGTGGAGTAAAGTAACTGGTAATCAATTTCAATCTTAAGATTGTTAAACTATTTTTCCCATTGATAATCAAATGTTGTGCTTCAAATTATTATAGAAATTTTTCATTGCTAATAGGATAATGCACCCAGATGAAAAAAGACCGAGGGTGAGTTGTTTGACAAGGTTATTTTATAGTCATAGGAAGAAGAAATACATTGTGGTGTATGTATTTGATATGGAACTAGACATTTAAATTCTTAGAATGAAAGATATCTTTAATGACTGGGTATTGCATATGTGACAGGGACAATTAGAGTTTACCTTCTGAATGTTATTAGCCTTGGATTTTGAAATGGGTTTTCCTTCATCAGTGATTTGCAAAGCAGGTACTTCAGTTCCTTCTCCCAGCACGCTTCCTCTTTGGATTGCAGCATAAGGAGCAATTGAAGAACTTTTTCCAATTCTAATTGGATGGAAGCTCAAGATTCCATTCCTCATTTCATGGCCTTGGATTAATACTCCCTCTGCAATTACCACTCCATCTCCAATAGAAACTAGAGCTGGATCAGTGATATCAACAGTATCAAGTACAACACATGATCCTATCTTAGCTCCAAACATCTGAAACCAGTAATTCAGTAACACTGTTCCTTTCAAATGCACGGCCAGAACTTTTGATGAAACCTCTTGAGCTTTGTATAGTGTCCACCACTTGACGTAATCCAATGACCATATGGAAATTTCAGGAATTAAGGCATAGTTCGGTTGAAGGAATGAATTCCCGAAAAGAGCAATACAACTGCATGTAGAAAATATGCAGAGGATCCATGCAAGAGGTGCAAATGCCAGGGAAAGCATGTAAGGTGCCCATGGAGTTCCATTTATCAAATTATGAGAGGCAGAAATCATCTTCAGAAATACAGATATTGATAAATATGCAGGAAGGATCAGCAAGATGGAGACATATATGAGGGCAAGAAATTGCAATGACATGATACCCAATTGGTGAGATAAGGAAACTTCAGTCAGTAACTCAGAAAAATTAACCTCAGGTTCTGGAAGAGATGCAGAAATTCTCATGTCTTGAGGCTGAGATTTCGTGACAATATCTTCTGAGAAGCTAGCCAAATCTTCAATGCTGGTTGCTGTGAAAATATCAACTGCCCCAACTGGCACCCCAAGATAATCCGAAAGCTTTTGAGCTGCTCTGACCACCCCTATGGAATCGATGCCATAAGATGTAAGGTTTGCAGTTGTGGAGATCTTACTGACTGGAATACCAGTTTGCTCAGAGATAAGTTCCTTTAAAAACTCCACAATTTCTCTGCCACCTAATTTTGTACCTGGTGAAGGTAGATTTGTCTTCAGATGCTTTCGAGGAGTATGACCATCCCTACATGTTCCTGTAGTATTGGACCGTAAAAGTAATCTCTTTGGGATCTTTGGTTCTGGTACCAAATTCAGTGTCTCATCAGTGAATTGTTTGAGGCATTCAAACCTTTTGATTTTTCCAGATGTTGTCTTGCTGATAGTTCTTGGTTTAATCAACTTAACAGAAGCCAAATTCACACCGTGTTCTTCTGCAACCTTGGCCTTTATTTTCTCAAAATCGTCTTTACTTGCTGGTTTACCATCTCTAGTTTCTGCAATCACTACCAACCCCACCTGATCAGACGTATCTGATATTGGTATCCCTTTTGCCGATAATATATCCTCAGGAACCCCAATGACAGCACAGCAACCAGGGCGCAGCAGTTCACATGAGCTCTCAACAGTCTTCTCTACATCAGCCGAATAGATATTTCTTCCTGCAACTATTATAAGATCCTTGATTCTTCCAGTAATGAACAAATTCCCGTTAATTATTCGTCCTAGATCCCCAGTTCTTGTGTAGCTTGCACCGGGATGATTCTCAAGCTTATTCCTAAAAGTGCTTTCACTGAGTTCCTCCCTGCCCCAGTACCCAATTCCTGCACTTGGACTACTAATCCATATTTCTCCTTCCTTTCCAGATTCTTTCTGCTCTTCACCAGTTTCTGGATCCACTATTCTAATGTTTACATCTGTATCGTTTGGATTTACATACCCACAACATACCCTTCCTTGCCAATCCACCACAATAGGTTTTCCTTCCCCATAAGCGCAACTGACAAACACACAGTTTTCTGCCAATCCATAGCCAGGAGCCATCACATATTGGGAAAGGCCATAAGGACTTGTTAGCTCAATGAATCTTTTTAGAGTTTTCTGCCTTACTGGTTCAGCAGCAATCATCAGAAAAATCATGGAGGAAAGGTCATACTTCCGAATCTTATTCTTCTCAACCTCCAACCTTCGTACTACAAGTTCAAAAGAGAAGTTGGGGCCTGCACTATGAGTTCCCCTGTACTTGCTGATAGTTTCAAGCCACAGGAGAGGGTTCTTAATGAATGTCATCGGGGAGAACAAGATAGCAGTTCCACCACTAACCAGAGCTGTGAAAAGCCCACCAATCAGTCCCATGTCATGGTATTGGGGGAGCCAGCTGATAAGTACTGTGTTTGATGTGCTATGGTATCTCCTTTGCATTAGCTTCACATTATGAATTAGCCCACTATGAGTTATAACAACACCTTTTGCGTCTCCAGTTGATCCTGATGTGAATTGGAGAAAGCATAGTTCATCAGCACGTGGCACTGAATTACAATCTATACTTACTGAAGGCGCATCTTTGGAGTTTTTCACCCAAGAATCAGTGTGTAACCAAGGAAGATTAGGCCAGCGACCCGAGCCCTTTCCATTTTTATTGGGCAACGATATCAAATTCTTCACGGAGCCTGCTCTAACAGCTAATTGATAACCTACGGTGGAGAGAATTGCCACCGCCTTGCATGATTTTGCAATATTCTCTATCTTCAAAAGTGCTTGTCCACCTCTTTGAAGTGGATCAGGGGGAAGAGCTGGGACTGGCAATACTCTGGCTCTTAAACACCCAAAAAAGGCATCAATAAAATCCAGACCTGGGACATGAACAAGAAGGACCCTGTCACCTGGATTGATGACTGGTTTTCTGCTAGACAATAGCTTCTCAGCAATGCAAGCAGCATTAGCATGAAGTTCTCCAAAAGTTCTTTGGCCCATCACTTCTCCTTCATCATTTATCCATCTATAAAGGATTTTGTTGCAACTGATGTTATGATTTCCCCAGTATTTCAAATAGCAATCAAGGCTGGATAGATCTGGAAATTCTAATCCCTTAGATTCATCAAGCTCTCTAGGGATCTTATCCCGGCACTCTGACTTCAGTGTAAACAATCTCTACAGAAATGAAGGTCAAGTAAGTAAATAAGCATTTATTCTGTAATCTGAGTTTGATCTTTAAGAATTGACAGTATCAAGTACCTTTACATAAGGAAACCTTGGAATTAATTCATCAGTTGCAAAGTGCTTGCAAACCAACCCCATAGCGTAGGATGAATTCCTCTCCGTAAGCTCAAATGCCATGAGTCCACCTATGTAGTAAGTATTCTGCTGGCCTTGAAGTTCAGTTTCTAGTTTCTCGTAGAACCCACCTTTCATAACTATATTAAAGTAGAATGAAATTAGTAGCTGTAAATATGGGAGGCAAAACAGAATCTCATCAAGATGTGGACTCTACCTTGGCTTTCAACATGAGGGAAATATTTGAATCTCTGTTGTAGAATTACCATTTCAATTTCTCCCCCCATTCTTTTGACTGCATCAATTGCTAGCTGAGTGACTTCTTGTCCTCTGACATTGGCTGAGTTGCCATATGACCAGAATAGGAAGATATTGGTATCAGAATAGAATTTCTGCAGAGCCACCGGATTTCCTATAGTTTCAGGATCATCCATGAACTCCCCAAAGTAAAAGAACCCGACCGGCAGATGTTCCAGACCCTTAATCTTCATGACAGTTGTGTAGTAGTCAATAGTCTGCACTTTCCTAAACAATTCCTTTTCAAGTTCACTGAAATCCAGGATTTCATCATCAGCATCTGTAAGATAAAATTTATTGTTTAGCTACTAAACACAGTTTAAAGCTAGATGGAAGCAGCAAAATGAGTAAAATCTCAAACCTTCTTCCAACAATGACGGTGATCTATATGTTCTCCCATTCTTGAAGGGAAATGATCCAGATATTATGACTTTATCGAATTCCCTAGTTATCAAGTTTCCGTCATTCTGTTTGACTTTAATGTTGACACCTGATGAGTTGCGCCTGATTGCTACTACTTCTGTGTTGCAGAGGACTTCTATGGGGAGGGATTCACTAATTTTTTGCCACATACTCATGTATCCACCTTTGAAACGTCTAATTTTACCGGCCATAGATGTTCTGGTGAATTCATGAATGTAAGCATATGGCATATCTTGAACAAATCCATATCCGGAAGCTGTATATCCATAAGCTACAGATTTTGGAACAGAACTGAATCCATGATCCTCAAGAAATGCAGGTGTTGAATCATAAGCTAAGTCACTTATGGCGTGAACTCCAATTCGACCTGACGTCTTCGCTTTATCCTGTGAACCGAACATTATGATTTTAGCTTCTCTCTGTGTGAACTGAGTACTGAGAATAAGAGACAGATCATCTACTAACAGCAAAAGAAACTGACCTGGAGATCTAATGTGAGCGAGACTGCAGAAACATAGTCATCTGCAACCTGGATGTCCTCATACTTCCCTGTGAAACTATCAATTAATGCAAGTTTGTGGGAATCCATTTCTTCCAATTCCGAACCAGCTTCATTTGCCAAGTGAAAGATTGTGGGAGAGCTACTGGCTGCAAGGACTTGTCCACCAAGATCATAAATCTTTCCTTCTATATCAACAGATAAACACATTCCACTGACTGTGTGATGTTTCTCCAGCACGGTTACATTATTATAACCGAGTTTACACAGCGCGTAGGCAGCTGATAATCCACTAGGACCACCTCCTACTATTGCGATTCTCGTTTTCACAGGGAAGCCCGGATGTAGCTTGGAAAATTGATCCTTAGGGTTCATTTGTGCAGCCATCCTGATGATATTGCCTGATGGGATCAATATAAACTTTTAACATCAACATTCTAGCACTATGGTTTTCTTGGATTCACCAAAGAATGACTAAATAGTGTAAGAAGATTCAATCAGTTATCAGGGAGTTCTATAAATGAATCTATCAAATTATGTTTTCCTAGCATTAACATCTTCTTCCTTTGATTCATTCGGCGAGCTTTATGTTTGATATGCACAAATTGGACCACACTTTACAGGATTAGAGAAGAATTTCTAGTGTCGAATGCTGTGTACCAAACATGAAAGTCCCGACCCTAAAGCTTCATTTTTCGTGTGGGATTTTCAAGAATAGAAATATACCTCTTGGATGAATTTATCTTACGCCGTGACTGCCTTACTTGGCTCCTGAAAAATAAGCTATCTGTTTATGCATGGCCACCCGAAAGTTGGTTCATTAGTCTAAAATTGAACTAATTCATTACATAGACTAGCAAAAACTAAAATCTAATAAATTACACATGACATATAGTTAAGAAACCAAGTCTTAATTATAAATTAAGTGATAAAATAATAGAGAGCACATAAAGAAAATTATAATTAATTTAAAATAATCAACTAACCTGAAAGGTGATATGAGCAAAAAGTGACTCTTTTTGATAGGCAACTGAAAAATAAAGCGCCAAATGGCAGCAAAAGAAAGAAAAGTATATTTTTTTGTGATAACCGAAGTACCACAAATGGGGTAAGTGCTGATTTCATATGAGAATTTTGACAATAGAGATGCTTTTATAGTTCAAAGGGTACGTGACAAAATGATTTGGTAATCATATAATTAATTTCTTGGTTAATCCGAGGATTTACCATATGGTCTGTCTTTTGTTGGGAAATATTCCTTTTTTGTGCTTTAAGAACAAGATTATGTTGAGGGCCTGCTTGATTGTGATTTTTGGGTACCGGTTATTCGTGTTTTTTTAATTGAAATTTATGATGAATTTGTTTTTAGTAACGATTTTTAAAAGAGTAAAAACTCATGTTTAAAAGTTTATTATTCAGCGATTTTTAATTTAATATATATGCATTAGAGGGTAAATTTTGAAGAAAATTTTCAAATAGTTGTTTTAGAGGGTGAAATTGAAAATAATAGTCCAAGTTTCATTCCATTTCAGAATATATTTGAAAATAATTTTTTAGATGATAAAAAAAAAAAAAAAAAAAACGATTTGATGGATTGAGAAATGCATTTCAAAAAACTAACAAACTAATTTTCCTGACATGTCAAGCAGTGTCCCGAAAAAGGGTCAAAACCAATGTAAAAAACTGGCGAGCAGGCCCCAGGTCATCAATGTGGATCTAAGAGCATGTTTGCTTAAGTTTAAAAAGAACTAAATCACTTATTTGTAATTTCTCCATGAAACAGACTTCCCCTTATCATAAATATTAACTCTACCTCCAATTTTAACTAAAGTAGCAGTTTCAGTGAGAAAAATTGCCATGAAATGCGGTCGAAAGGGAAATAGGCATACAAATATTCCAATTAATAACATTAAGAACTAACTCAAAAAGTATGAGATGCGAGATTGTGAATCACTTTATTCCCTTCGCGAGAAACAAAACGACAAGTGCCACAATCCATGTCTCCAAGTACATCCACGTAAATACAAAGGAATGGACGTTTATTGTGCTAAAAGTATCCCCTTACGCTCCACAAGTGACTAAATAATACTATTGAACACCAGTATAGTTGATCACATTTGATACTTTCAATTAAAAGAATCACGTGATATTATATTTAAGTTAATTTTTCATTTAATACCATGCTATTGTCACGTAAATTGATACTTGACACCATTGATGCTGAATGAAATTAGATTAATTAGGACACCTCCATTAAAAAAAAACACACACAATCCTCTTTGCTTAGGTAACCAACACCACCCATCCTATGTTTTAGGAAGAGAATGATTTATCAATTAAAATATTAATTATTTTATAGTTTACTCATTGCTTGTAGGTAAATTGATTTATAAGTAAGCCAAACATGGTTCACGGAACAGGATCTTGGATACTATGTGGCGTTATAAGCAAAGAAAAGACTTTGGTTTTGATGGATTAATTTGTTTGGATGTTGGGTGTCAGTGGGTCATTCTTGATCTCAACTTCAGTTTGCCTCCATTCTTTACATGGTAGTCATTTGTTAATCCCTACACTTTGTTTAGTCCTCCCCAGTTTTTACCTTTTGTTATTATATAGGTACGTTTGATTCTTATTTTTATCAAAATTTATTTTTCTCTCACTTCTTTTAAATCATATATTTTTTATTAAAATAATATTACATGTAACTAAATTTTTTTTTCTTATTTTTCATCCACATATTCTCCATCAATCTACTATTTTAAAATTTAATTTTCCATAAAATGGGTATCAAACACTCTCATTATGATATAATTATATCTCACATCGCTCTTGAAAATCCAGTCTTTTGGATTTATAAAAACTTTGGACACCCTCAATTACAAGACAAGTTTAAGTGTACGTTCCATGGAATCACTCAACTAGAAAAATGGATCGTTGTAGACATCAATTTTGAAGAGCAATGTAATATAATAATTTAAATATATCTCATATCACTCATGAAATACAAGTTGATTTTAAAGATGGGTTCTACCCATAGTGTGTGTGTGTGTGTGTGTGTGTGTATATATATATTTTTTGGTGGGCGGGGGGTTGAGAGAAGGTGGCAGGGGATCTGCCGAGCAGATGAAGACACTAGGCTTTCTTATTAGTATCTTAACTTCGTTTTGTTTTGAAAGGTTACAGGGTGATATAAGGAACAAATGGAACAATAAGAACACAATCCCATGTCCTTCATGCACAAAACCAATAAGAAAAGCCAAAAAAGAAGCTTAGAGAAGAAAAGGATATGCTCCCCTTCCCCATAAAGAATACAATCACTCATACAAGATGAGTAAATTAATCATTTTCGCTGATTGGATGGTATAATAATGAAAACCTTTCACCTAAAATTCCAAGAAACATAAGCTGTCAGCTCATATCCATTTATCTCTGATCCTCAATCAAACAAAAGCAGCCGTCTGGAGCAAATAGCAACAAATAGAGATAAAGAGAGTAAAGACGAGCTACATATTTTGAGTTCGATCTCGTTTTCAGCCATTAAGTATCAAGGAAGAAGTAGAGAAAAAATGAATGGAAAGAAAAGCAAGAACTGATTTATTACATAATATATGATTATGCACTTATATATTTGAGAGAAATCTTCAACCACAAAAAATGCTAGTTGATAAGGTTCAACAGTGTCAAAATCATGCATCCGAATAAGAGTGAGTGTTTTTCTTTTGAAGGACAGGAGAAGAAATTTGGGTGCAGTCGATGTAGAAATTAGGACGCTTTCTTCAAAAGGACGAATGAAAATCGTGGTACTTCTCAAACTATGTGAAATGCACTAAGTAAAACTTTTATCAAGATTTTTACTGTAATAAACAGAATCCTAACCTGCTATAGATAAAGATGTAGGGATTGGCAAATAATAGCATCTGCAGATTACAAAGATATATAATGATCCATCAAGTTAGTAGTTGTACTGAAGAATCCAAAACTTGCAGATTCTAGATGCATCTTTAGTTATCAGCAAGAAAAATATCGCATTTATGAAAATCCAAAAGATACAATTCCAGTTGTGCTGTAGGGAGATGCAACAAATTTTCTCGAAAGCTATTCTTGGTAGAAGATGAGAAATCAAGATCAATGAGAAGAATCCAACCCAAGTACCATTCATTTGACCCCCTTTCGAAATAGCCCATCATATTCACTGACACTGCACCATTCCGATTACTAGAGCAATGAAGAAACAAGAACCCACAATAACTAAGAGATCCAGGAATTATGTGATATAATAGAATAGCCAAAAATGTTAGAACAGACGGTCATATGAGCATCAAAAACATCACTTTTGCCATAGGTTACCAATACCTCACATATTATGGCAACACTGAAGATCAAGTTTGATCCGATTGAAACTTCCAACAATAAAAACAAGTTTAGGTTAAGATCCCCAGAAATGGGAATGACTAGATTTCACTTCCGCTATCAATTGCTGTTATAGGTATAAGTTCTATCGCAGAGGCCAATCACCCATTCAGTTGCAATCGACACCTGCTTCAGGAGCTCGACAAGGTTTGTTTTTCCGTCTATTCCCTTCGCGACGAAATCCATTCAATTTGTTTGACTCCTCAGTGCTCGATGTGGTTCCATTTCCATTTTCCTCTTTCACGGAATCGATTTTCTCCTTCACCTGAGAATTTCGTTTTCTTTTCTTCCCGTTCTGTGATGCGGTTGAACTTTTTGTTTCATTGCCCAATACACCATCTGTTGTGTCTTCACTCTCTCCATTTTGTATTTTCTCAGCCTCTTCTTCGTCTATGTCATCATTAAGTGATTTCTGAGGCCTCCCCCTTCTCTTTTGTGCACCTGTTTTTTCTTCCTCAGCACTTCCTGGATCATCTTGGTTCATGACATCCAGCTTCTTTCCCTTTGCTCTAATCCTACCCATAATCTTCAACTCCACAGATATCACCCAGGTAATTTTTATTTCTGGCAAACAAAATAGCCACTAATCAAATGTAGCTTGGGTTGATAAGAATTTATAGAAGATTAATATACAAGTACAACAGAACAAATACATTACAAGGTAAAGTAAGGCCCAAGAACTTCATATACCTAAGCAATTGCAGCCTTAGTACAGTGAATCAATATGAAACAACAATTTACACAATTGCAACATTAAATATAAATCTTGTGATCGTGTGTAAACTATAAACAATGTGAAACTGAGGAGCAAACATCATCATATTGATAAACTTAACTTACGACACTTCAAATATTAACATCTTGCGGAGAAAAATTCTAACCATGAAAATTGAATAATGGTAAGAAACACTAATCAAAATTTAGTAAATAGATAACTAGAAAGAAATTTTCAGGGACAGAAACCAGGAATTTTAAACATCATATATTTATCTATCCATTTTCAACAACTATAATTTTCAAGTAGGAAGGTTGCAATTTGTGATTATTCTTTCAAACTAAAACTCGTGTTCAGTTCAACTTGTCAATCAAAGGCACAGTAGTCCAATATACCAAACATTTCCCCCAACCCAATTTGTAATATGATGCATGATGAAATACTGGCTGCTTAAATCGATAAAATGGTGGTTAATATTTACATAAAATCAGCTTTAAATATGCTAAAACGATACACTTGAGAATTTATGTTAAGGCATCCTCATTTAGCACAAACAAGCAATTAAAACCGCTTTAGTTGAGAGCACTTCCAACTATTTTTGCCTCTTCCACAAAACAAAAAAGGATAAAAAAAACTCTTTAAATATCCAATCAAGGAGCAGTGCTCTCACTCTATTCTAATTAGAATTCTTCGAATAAATTCCATTTATAAACTTAGAAGGCATGTTTGGTGCATAGCATTATAAATTGCGGAACCCTATAATCACAATTTAACCTTTTGTTCTCTCTAATGCAGTTCAATCCAACTTCCCAAACATACCAAGAGTGTTTAACTGTTATATACAATTCACTATACACAGAGAAGCTCACGAGGATCCCGGGGAACTCACATACTCTGAGAAGAGAGAGAGATGTAAAATCAAAAATGAAGAAACTAAAGGCAAGCTCAACTTTTTCAGAACCAATTATAAAACAGGCAGAAGAATGCTTACTAGTCATAACCATCTAACAACTAATTAAACAAATCAAATAAAAAATTAGATCTGTAGATTAACAAAACTACATATAGCCATACAATTTCAGATATTGAAATCTTCCACTTTACAGAACCCAAAAACAGTACAAAACACAGATCAATTGGGCGGGGAAAAATGAATTGAACTCACCAAGAGAGAGCCATTTGAGGACTCATTGCAGTTAATATGTTAAACATGTGACGAATAGAATCCCAAAAAACCTCCAAGGCCCAGAAGAAATTTTCAATATAAGATTAATTAAAGAAGCTAAGGAAGTAAATTTTTGAACAAAATGTGGTCTTTGAAACAACTGCAAAAGAGACCAGATCAAGAAAGTTGAGAACTTGAACAGTGATTCAAGAAGATCAAGGATTGACCATTTCCTGATGGAACGAGCGGCCCATCAGCGCACCATAAATGGGCAAAACACACAGATGTTTGCGATTGGGTTTTGTAAATTGCAAGTGGAGTCTCAACCCTCAAGTGTGTATGATCTATGTTTGCTAGCGTTTGTGAGTGTGAATGCGAGAGAAAAAAGTCGAGGTCAGCTGTAAGGGTAATTTGGAACAGAAAAAATACAAGTTCAAAAATGAAATTTCCCTTTTAAATGGAAATCTTAATTTTTTTTTTTTTTTTTAACGAGGTGTCCTAACTTATGTCAGACTATATCATCGTCCCTGAACCTCCGGCCCCTCAACTGCTTAAGGAGGTAAATCACAGTTTGTGCCCTTATTGATTTCCAAATTCCCACATGACTTTTACTCCTTCTCCAAAGGGAGCCTCCTCCATGGTTATTAAATCACCAAACTGCTCCAACCCTTCCTCTGGTTATTACATCACTTGGCTGCTCCAACCAGGAATCGAACTCCCACGCTTGATTCCAGAGCCCCTCAATGTGATTGTTCCGTCAACTTGAATGTGCCCTGAGGAGTATGGAAATCTTAATTTTCATTGTACGTGACTATGTTGTAAAGCAATGATCTCCTATCATGGTAGTTAGGATAAAATATGATCATCATAAGCGGTCAAGTCTTTAAATTTTGACAATTCAAATGAAGTGACAACTCCATGTTAGCAATCAAGAATTTTGTTAGCGGTCAAACATACAATTTTTGACAATTTAACTGATGTGGCAACGCTACATTAGCGATCAAGAATTTTTACTACGTTGAATTGTCATTTTTTTTTAACCTAGCAACTCTATTTGATCAATTGCAGAATTTATAGCAAAATGTCAATTGAGTCACTAAAGTTCATATTAGCTTTAAATCGAGTTATTAAACTTCAATTTTATTTTTAATTTCACCACTCCTCACCTACCATCTTCCAAATGAATGAAAATTATTCTAGTGACAGCCATGGGCGGATCACACGGGGTCATGTGGGGTCAAATGACCCCACTAATTTTTGCATTTATTTTTTTATCTTTATATTTTAAATAAAATAGTTGTTTGATCCTTTACGATCTACTTTGATGCACTCATTATAAGATGTCAAATGAAGTCAAAATATTACATTCTTAATACTATTTTGAAGTGCTCATTGCCTAATTTTTCGCTCATTAATGACGTGCGAAATGGTCAATCATAACACAAGTTACGAAGGGTTAAAATAGACCGTTTCAAATTAGTATTTCGATAATTTTGATAATATGCTAACTTTCAAAATCCATCGACAATCGTATGCTATTTGAATCCACAAATCGTTTGTCATGTAAAAGCTAGTTTCGAAAATTACATCGTTATCATATCGAATGGTCCAAACGAATATAGAAAGTAATTAAATATGCATCAAACGTATATATCAAAAAAGTCGTATAACTTGTCTTTTCTTTTAAAAAAATTCAATTATTTCATTAGTGTTTATTATTTTTGCACGATAAATTTATATAATTTATATAATTTTATTAGAAAATTTTGCATGGAATATGACGTTAAAAAATTTAGGATTGTTACGGATTAAATATAATTTTAATTACTTTTGAATTACATTTGCTTTAAATTTGACTTTCACTTGCTTTTTGGATATTATTTTATTTTATTTACTTTATACATTCGATTTGATTTACTCACTGTCGGTTCAATATTTGTCAATGAAATGGTGAACAAAACTGTACAAGTAGCAAAATATATTTAATAATATTGACAATGATGTAATTATATAATGTTTTCAACGTATCAAAATATGTATTAATTTATTTTTATTAATATTATGTTGTTTTTTTTTTTAAATTATATTTTAATTTTTGCTCCACAGTGCTAAAAGTCTAGGTCCACCCGTACTGAAAGTCATACCACAACTGATATCAATGACATTGAGAACTGAATTAGGATCGAAGCCCACGTTTAAGTGTGGTGTTTCTAAATGCTAAAGTATGGATGATTTGCATAAACGTGGTAAAATAACCACAAGCATAATTAGCTTCGCTATCAATTTATATAAATTCTCCCTGTAAGAAGAATGAAAAGAAAAAAAAAGAAAAAAAAGAAAAGGGTTTTACTGTATAATTGTCTTTGCAAAATAGACAGTTGAACTTGTACAACATAAAAAGGGAGGATTAAGGTGCATCGATACAACATTAATGCCTCATCGTCGTTTTAAATGATTAAAAACAAATGATGTGATCACAGACATTAATATGAAGATCACCAAAATAAGTGCATCTAAATTGAAGAGATAAAGGAGGCTGGAACAGATCCTTCCATAAGTTGCAGTACTCTCTTCACGGTAGGCCTTAATTCTGGATCATCTCGAATGCACCAAATTGCTATCACCACAAACTTGTCAAATTGCTTATCTTTTAACGCTTCCTCGTCGTTTGCTACTAATAGATGCATTTTTCCTTCCTTGTAACATCATAAGCAAAATCAGCAAGTATGGTTCACTCTCGACCAATGTTTGGTTCGTAATTTCCTCGACAGATGAGCTCAAGCAACAAGACGCCAAAGTTGTAAACGTCAACCTTGATAGTAATCAGCATGTTTCTGAAGCATTCTGAAGTGACATAACCTTTGGTATCCTTTATTCTGGTGGTGGTTTTTGATTTATCTGGTTTCAAAAGCTTCACCAATCCAAAAGTCCGATATTTTTCCAGTGAAGGATTCGTCTAAAAGTACGTTTTGAGGCTTGATGTCACAGTGTATGATTTTGCTGTTTTATTGTTCATGCAAATAGCAAATACCTCTAGGCTCTAGCTGTTGCAAATGCGATCTGCATTCTTTTGTGCCAGTTGGGCCTGGAATTTTAAAACAATAAGTTGCTAGAGAGCCATCGCTAATGTATTAAAATCCCAAAAGTCAATTTTGCTTCCCTCGTCACAATATCCCAGAAATTGAACTAGATTTTTGTGATCAGTCCTGCTAATTGAACTTACTTTTGCTTTAAATTCTTGGTCATCTTCTATAGCCATTCTTATGCAGATTTTTCACAGCAACTATGGTTTCAATAATGTTGATCTTGAGAATCCCTTTGTACACTGTTGAACAAGGGCCCCTGCCCATTAATCCCTCCTTGTAGCTCTTTGAAACTAAGTCTTCTAATGTTCAGACCTGGAAGAACTTGATATATGGTTGAAGCCACTTTGCAATTTGTTGATTGAAACAGAAAACATACGACAAGAGGGACAACAGTAGAATTAAGTTAAGAAACACGGAACTGCATAAGAAAACTGATCCGAAGATGATTAGAGAGGATCGATTACTCTTCTTAGAGCCAAAGGATTGCCCCGTTGCATTGGTATTCCTTGTTTTTATCGAAGCTTTCTCCCTATACCAGTATTGACCCTCCCATGGGAGAGAGGATATCTCATCTTCCAACAATTACCACCTCTATAAATCTCAACAGCACAAAAACAATCATTGAGACAAATATGTTGACACCAATCTTCTGTTGCTCAAAATCGGTATAATCAAAGGCAGGTGGGGGTGGCAAACGAGTTGTTGGCTCGTCAAAACTCAGGCTTGTACTTGGACGACCTCAAGCACAAGCCAAGCGGGTCGGCTCGCCCATGGCTTGTGGGCTCGTGGCTCCCTACTACAGTGATCGTTTGCGATAGTCGCTAAACTTACAGAAGAGGTCATTTTGGCCATTTTTTCCTTATTTTTCCACTCTATAAATACCCCAACCCATTTCAAATTTTTTCACACGCCACCAACAATTCTTACTCTCTTCCATATTCTACATTCTAGGCTCGGCCCTTAATGCCATGAGCTCGGCTCGTTGAAATTGGGCAAGCTCGGCTCGTGAGCTCGCCTATTTTTTTTTAAATAAAGAATAGAGTTTTAAAAATAAAATACGTTAAAAAATGCAAATAATTTAACGAAAACAAGTTTTTATTTTTTTTATTTATATCATATTGTAATTTGTAATACTTTTTATAAAGTATAAAATATTTATATAATGAAAACGAATTATTTTTTGAAATACATTTACAAAAAATATATTTTTTGATTTCTTTTTAAAGTTAATAAAGAATAGAGTTTTAAAAATAAAATACGTTAAAAAATGCAAATAATTTAACGAAAACAAGTTTTTATTTTTTTTATTTATATCATATTGTAATTTGTAATACTTTTTATAAAGTATAAAATATTTATATAATGAAAACGAATTATTTTTTGAAATACATTTACAAAAAATATATTTTTTGATTTCTTTTTAAAGTTAATAAAATGTAAACCCTTATCCTTTATTCGAGCTTGGGACCGGCTACATCAATTTTAAGTAGACGGAGTTAAAAATTGTATACGAACAACTTATTGTAACGTGTACAATTTTTTAAAGAAAATTAAATTTAACGATTAAAAAATAAAAAAAATTGATTAATATAATTAAATTAAATCTCACTTACCTGATGACATGCAATTTCAGCGTATTTATCTTGTAGTCGAAAATGAGCATCCTGCCAATCCTTCACACACATTAACGCTTCCAAAACATCTTCTTTCAGTTGGTTCCTGATATCGGTCAAAATCCTTTTACCTACACTAAAAGCAGACTCCGAAGCAACAGTGCTAACTGGAAGTGTCAATAGATCTTTCGCAATTGTAGAAACAATTGGCCAACGTCTTTCATACTTTCGCCAGAATTCAATTACCTTTTCTGAAGTTTTTTTAATTGTTCTGTCTGTCGGCATATTATGATTGAAATAATCAATTAATTCGACAAAAATCGCATTTTGAGTTTCGACCGATGTTTGATGAGATGCAGATATAGACGACATGGTGTAGACGATATGGCACTAGATGAACACATTGCAGTTGCATCATATCTAAATGTATTAATGCCCTGAAATAAATTCATTATTTTCGCAGCATCTTCTTCAGTTTTAGCAGAAAGAGTAGGTGCTGCAGAGGGTACCCGACTAACATTCGCACACGTTCTTTCCGCATATAAATCATACATTCCACATAATGTTTGCTCTAAATTCTTATAGGTGATAGGTGTATCAAGTATTAAAGTTTTATTGATTTGATCAATTACGTATTTAGTTCCCGAAATATTATATCGGGGTCCATTGCGCATGCTAAAGGAAATAACATAGACAGTTCTTCCCAA